TATGATTTGAAAGCTGCCAGTCTGAGTATCCTCCGAGCCGTTAGTTTCTGTTCATGTAGGCGGATCTGCAATTTTCGTCCTCTTTCTCCAAAGTAATTGTTATGAAACCACACAAACATCTATACGAAAGCCGAAGCAGCGAACGAGAGAAAAAAATTGAACAGTCCAAGGCCATTACAGACAGCTAGACAAATTTCAAATCGCTGATTCATAGTGGCAGTCGACGCTTTGACAATTGAGGTCTGGCCCAGATCTCCGAACCATCAACGAGAATCAAAAATATTTCCAGTGAGCAGCAATACGGGCTTAAAATTCGGTCAGTACAAGGCCAAATAGTTAGACCACTCTTTCACGATTCTGATCGATATTTGCGACCAACGGCTTTGAGAACTGATAAACGTCTCTAGTTTGCGTAATTTCACTGAAAAATGAACATACACGTCTTGTCTAAACTTCTCTTTTTCTTCTTCTGTCGTTCAATTAGCGAAACGAAGGTAATCCTAGTTTTACATTTTCTAAAGATAACTTTCTAACGCGGAGTTGATCGGTGTATTCAATGGTCTACGGACGCGAACCAAAATTTGATATTAATATTCGGTCTGCAGCCTATCCAACCACTGCGAGGTAACCGCGCAATATGCACAAGCTGCCAGTAGGCAGGCAGTCAGTAGTCTACCTTGCCTACGAGGGGATAAATGTGCAATTCATGAAACTCTAACGCGAAATCAATTATCAGCTTTGTACATTTACCGATAAATGAAGATAATACCGCAACCTGTCCACGTAAAAGCCGCCATGAGAAATACCCGTGGTTATCAGATTTCATTCCGTTATATGGAGCTATATTTGACGCGTTATTTATGCATGCACACTGCGCAATTCGGAAATTCCAAGCTACTGGCCAAGCAATTTTGCCGAGAAAAAATTCCTTTCCACTTCCTTGGATCGGTAATTGAAACGATTACCTCCTTACAAAACTATTAACAATACTGGCATTAAAGGTACTATCTAAAAGCCCAGACACGTGATTTGCTGATACTCTGCTGCTGAATGGCAGAGTTGTTAGGGTTTTGGGCTCATTAGTGGTTCACCCAGCTTTCCTTGTGGGCTTTCTGTTATATACTCCAGTTTATGAATTTTAGCTTTATACTTTCCTCTGAAATTAATTTCTAAATCGGAGTATTCAAGGATCCTTTGGTAGAGACCACAATTTGATATGAATACTTGGGCTGCAAATTATGCTCTTATCATGCGGTGGCTGAGTAACGTCGGTCCAAATACACATTTTAAATTTCGGTCTGCACTCGTCGACTCCTGAAGATATTTTTAAGAGCCCTAACTGGAGCATCGAGAATTGCAGTTGCGAGACAAGACTCCAGCTTCGTGTCCATATCATCCACAGTCAGTCCATCCCTATACAAGAACAACAGCCCCATATCAAAGAATTGCAATCCGCCTGAACATCAGATGTTTTGCCGTAGCCATATTAACTTCCTACTGCAAAGGCTTTATCCACAAAAGGCTCCATAATTCGGCTGACAATTGGCCAAAACTCACACTTACTTTTCCTATATATTGGTAGTCCATCAATAGCTAAATAAATAACTAC